GCCCACTGTTCAAGTCCTGAATCTGGTAGCTTGCTTTCTCACTTTCTCACTCTCATTCTGTCCCTTTCTGGTGAAATTTAAATAAATAAATAAAATAAATAATTTTTAATTTTTTTTTGGAGAGGTTTTCGCTATAGGGCGTGTGTGCTCACCAGAGAGAGAGAGACAGAGAGACAGAAAGCAAGAAATCACCCCTCGGGGGGATGCCCACGCCACAGTCCCTTCTCCTCCATTCTTCTCTCGGGATCTTGGGCATGCACGCACACGCGCCAGGCATGAGTTCAAGCCACCAGGTTCGGGACACGAACCGTGGTTGACTACATGGGAGTCCAGCGACATAGCCATTACGCTAACTGCTAGTCCCCAGCTAAATAATTATTTTTAAAAAAATGACAAAACATTGGGGAAAAAATGGAGTAAATGACCACAGTAGTGTGCCCTGTATTTGACAGTCGGGTGGTAGCTACTAGTCTAGGAGACTGGGAATCCTGCCCATCTGAGACAGAAGCCAAGTGCGGAGTAGAAAGGGCTCGACAAATAGTTACCGGATAAATGTTAGAGGAAAAAAACCACTCAGACTGACATTTTGACTTGACTTTCGGTTTGGTATAGGGTGCCAGAGAGATGGGAGGTCAGGACAGAGTAAGAAATCACCGGGGGGGGGCGGGACCTGCAGTTAGTGTAATGGCTATGTCGCTGGACTCCCATGTAGCCGACCACGGTTTGCGTCCTGGACCTGGTGGCTTAAACTCACGCCGGGTGCATGTGCGTGCGTGCCCAAGATTCCGAGAGGAGAATGGAGGAGAAGGGATTGTGGCATGGTCATCCCCCCGGGGGGTGATTTCTCGCTTTCTGTCTGTCTCTGTCTCTGTCTGTCTGGCGAGTGCACGTGCCCTATAGCAAAAACCTCTTAAAAAAAGGAAAGAAAGAAATCACCTCCGCGGGGGATGGCCACACTGTAACCCCTTTTCTTCCACTCTCCTCTCAGGATTTTGGGCATGTGTGCGCACACACACCTGGCATGTTTTTCAAGCCTCCAGGTCCTGTGCAGTTGGCCATGTGAGATCCAGCCAACAACTTTCTTTCTTTTAATGAGAGATTTTTGCTAAAGGGTGTGTGTGCTCACTAGAGAGACAGAAGAAGACGGCAAGAATGATAGCCACGCCACAGTCCCTTCTCCAGTCTCCTCTTGGGATTTTGGCCACACGTGCACACACTTAAAAGAGGTTTTTACTATAGGGTGTGTGTGCTCGCTAGAGAGACAGAAAATCAGAAATCGCTCTCAAGAGGGTGTGACCCGGGAGACAAAGATTTTAACCCTAGGAGTGTGGCCTTAGACAAGTCACTTCTGTTCTCCCAAATAAGCAGAGTGAGCTCGGTGATATTCAGTAAATATTTAAAATCATTTTATTTTATTTATTTTAGAATTACATTTTATTGAGGCCTGCAGGTGGCATGGTGGTTAAAGACACTAGATTCCCGTATGGCTGACTGTAGTTCAAATCCTGGACCTGGTGGCTTGCTTTTCTCCCTTTCACTTTCTCTCTTTCTGATCAAATTAAAAAAAAAAAGAATGGAATTAAATAATTAAAATTTAAAAGAATTATTTACTTCTATTTATTAATTCATTTATTTTAATTTGACCAGAGGGAGATAGACACATAGAGAGAAGGAGAATGAGAAAGCAAGCCACCAGGTCCGGGACTTGAACTGTGGTCAGCCGTGTGAGTGTGTCCAGCACTTAAATACCACGCCACCTGTTGGCCCCAATAATTCATTTTTTTTAAAGAATGACATTTTATGGAAAAGGGATTGCAGCGTGGCCATTCCCCCTGGGGGGTGATTTCTCGCTCTCTGTCTGTCTGGCGAGCGTACGCGCCCTATAGCAAAAACCTCTTAAAAAAAAAAGGCATTTATCAGTGTTTTATTTATTTATTTATTTCTAGAGGTTTTTAATTTAGTGTGCTTGTGCTCATCTGAGAGAGAGACACGTACATATAGACAGACTGCCTCACTGAGAGGGAAAGTGAGAAATTATCCTCAAGGGGTATGGCCTTGTGACAGTCCCTTTTCCAATCACTTCCTGGATCTTGGGCACGCACAGCCTGGCCTGAGTTTCACGGCCCTGGTTCTGGGACTTGAAATGTGCTTGGCCATGTGAGAGCCCAGCCATGCAGCCACTGCGCCATCTGCGAGTCCAGCCATGCAGCCACTGCGCCATCTGCTCTTCTCTTATTTTACTTTATGTATTTATTTATTTTAGACTTTTGCTATAGAGCGCATGTGCTTGTTGGAGAGACAGCGAAAAATCGCCCCCCTGGGGGGATGGCCACAATGTAGTCCCTTCTCCATTCTCCTCCCAGGATACTGAGCACGCACGCACACGTGCCCGGCGTGAGTTTTAAGCTGTTGGTCTGGTACTCCAACCAAGGTCCACTATGTGAGAGTCCAACAATGTAACCATTATACCACCTGCTGGTCCCCCATACATATATTTTTAATTTGGTACAGGACATGTACACTCAGCAGAGAGAGTGAGAGAGAGAGAAAGCAAGCTGCCAGATCTGGGGACTTGAACTGTAGTTGGCCATGTGGGAGTCCAGCGCTTAACCACCATGCCACTTGCTGGCACCTAAGATCCTCTTTACATGCAGAAGTCTGTTTTGGGCTGTTTCTGTTTGTGGCCTAGTTAAGAGAACTGGATCCCATGTGGCCACTGTGCAGGTAGAATGCGATCTCCAGTGACTTGAAAATCACGCCAGGTACATGTGTGTATATGCCCCCAAACCTTGACAGGACAGAGAAGTGAAAGAAGGTGTTGTGGCATGACCATACCCCGTTGGGGAATGCTTTCTCACTCTGTTTCCGTCGAGCAAACATGCCGTCTGGCAAATTAAAACAAACAAAAATCTCAGTTCGTTGAATTGCTTGGGGACAGAAGACAAAAAGATTGAGAGTACTGTGAATGGTGTGCAAAACATGTTAATTTTGGACCAGCAGGTGGTGTGGTTAAGGTGCTGGACTCCCGCATGGTTGATTGTGGTTTGAGTCCTGGACCTGGCAGCTTGCTTTGTTGATTTTTTCTTTCTCTGGTGAGTACATGTGTCCTTTAACAAATTAAAATATAATAATAGTAAATAAAATAAATAATCCTTCAAAAAATGTTACTTTTATGCAGAGTTGAAACTAGGAGATAATTTATGATACCTTTGGTTTGTTTTCTTTTTGGATTGTTGTTAAATTTTGTTTGTTTGTTTGTCCTCAACAGTCAACGACAACACAAACAGCAGAGTGGTTCTTTGGTCCTTCTTTGAAGCTCTTGTTCTAGTTGCCATGACATTGGGACAGATCTACTACCTGAAGAGATTTTTTGAAGTCCGGAGGGTTGTTTAAGAAGTCTTTTCCTGATGATCCTAAATTCATAATTCACTGTTTACCAAACACCTTGGTCATAATAATGTCATTAGTTTGTTTTTATTTTCTGAACTGTACATTCACGGCTTTTGTTTCTTTGTGATTGATAGGTCTTGGGGAAAAAACACCTTTTTAGCGAAATTACAGTAAAAATTTGACATTTGATTGGCATAATTTCTTATTTGAATGCTGCCTTCATTGTACAGGTCCTTCCAGAACTCAAAACACTGTAAGTGAAATACAGGCGTAGGGTCTTTTACTGTGTCTTCTTTTTCTTTCACTGTCATAATGAAAGACAGTTTGTTAAGGAGATTGGCACCAAGCCTGCTTGTGCCCTGCTAAAACGACTGCATTCTTTGGATCCCCCATCCTGCAGGTCACATCGTTACAGATGCACTTGCTGAGTCCTGATGAGGAACAGCAGTCCCGAGCTGTCATTGTCTCTGTCCAGAGGAAGAGCTCTCTGGAGTACTCTGCCAGGCTGGGCACTTCATACTTGGTTTATCTCATTTTTGTTAAAAGGGAAGACTTGCCCCAACACGTTTTCCCTTTAAAATTTTTACATTGAATTTTAGGATTAAGTCACTTCCACCTAAACTGATGACACAGCAGCTAATAACCATTTTTTGCCTGACTTTATAAGAAATCTCTGTTAAAGTCAATTCTTTGGGCGTTTCAGGAAACCAGCTCCTTTTCCCTGTTGGCTGGCACACCCGCTTTCTCCACTGATGGCGTGTAGGAAGTAGGCATTCATACGGTGGGAGCACCTGGAGTTCTGACCGCAGAGGGTTGAGCCTCGTGGTTGCTGCAGTGGTACACAGCCACTGTTTCCTTTGATCAGTGGCCTCTGGGCCACCGTCGAGGGCACGGAACATCAGTGTCAGCACTAGCGTTTTTGTTGTTTCTCTTGGGTATTTCTATTTTGGCACATGTGAATTTTGTTTTATATAAAACAAAATGAATTTCTCGGCCTTTGATAATGGGTTTAAAATTAAAGGAGCATCTGGTTTTGGTGTGGGATGATCCGGGATTATGTTGAGACTGACGTATGTTAGTTACTTGTACATTTTTTTTGGATCTTCGCAAGGGGAAAACTACAAGTAACGAGTTTTATATAATTAATTTAAATTTGTTACAGGTTTTCATGTTCAGGATAAATAATTTTTCAACCTTGGGTGAAAATACTTGCAACAGTTTATTATAAGGTGATTGTGTTTCACCTCAGGACAACTGTTGCATGCCAATTTTTTGTGTGTGTGTGTGAAAACACTTCAAATTGAATTAAAAGATGTAAATTTAAAATTGGTTGTGTATCTAATATGCCCCAGGTTCAGTAAATAAACAATTCTTTTTAAAAACAGTCAGTATTGTGTGTTTTAAATATTACTGATGGTTAATTCACATTTGTTAAACACCAACTTTCTATTATTTGAATAAGACATGTCCACGTCTTCTGAGTAACTATGCCTGTTATCAACGTCTGCTACCTTTTTATTTCTGTGCGCTCTAGGATGAGTGAACAGGAACCCAATTCTTAAATTTTTTCATTTTTGCCCTAGGGTGCATATGCTCACTGGAGAGAGAGGGGGGGGAAGGTGAGACTTCATCCCCCGGAGGATAACCACGCTTCTCCTGGGACTTGGGGCATGCAGGCACTCACATGTGCACATTTTCTGAAGTCACCGGGCCTAGGACTAGAGTCACGTTGACCATGTGGGATCCAGTTGCCTTAACTGCCATGCCACTGGCTGGCCCTCTTTCTGTTTTAAGTGTTTTCTTTAATGAGACAGCACCCCCAAGGCGTCTTGATGCAGTGATCCACCAGTTCGGTCAGCCCTGGATGGTGGGCGCACACAGTGTATTCAGGGAGGTCTCCAGGTGCAAAGCCAGAACCTTCCCAATGGGGGTCGGCCTTCTCGAGTGTTGCTTCACCATCACCCCTTAGCCCCCACACTTTCAGGGTGCACTGGAAATGCACCCAGGTCTCCCATGGAGCCTTAGCTTGCCAGTTAGCAGCAGCAACTAGGGAGCATCAGCACTGGGCTTGGTGTACTTTCACTCCCATTCCTTCATCCCACAGTTTTTTTTTTTTTAATTATTTTGATTATTTTATTTATCATTTTTTTCGTCATTGTTATTTTTTAATTTGACCAGAGCAAGACAGACAGAGAAAGAGAGAAAGTGAGAAAGCAAGCTGCCAGGTCCACGACTTGAACTGTGGTCAGCCATGTGGGAGTCCAGCACCTTTAACCACTATGCCACCTGCTGGCCCCCATCCCACAGTTTTTAAAGGTTTTTGCCATAGGGTGTATGTGCTTGTAGGAGAGAACAAGACAGTGAGAGGGAAAGTTAGAACTCCCCCCCCCCCTTGGGGGATGACCATGTTGCAATCACTTCTCATTCTCCTTGGCTTTTGGCATGCATGCACATGTGCCCAGCATGATTTTCAAGCTGCCAGGTCCAAGACTTGAACTGTGGTTGGCCATGTAGGAGTCTAGTGCCTTAACTACTAGCCACCTGCTGGCCACTCATCCCATATATATAGCTTTTTAAATAATTAATTTGATCAGAGAGAGAGTGAGAGGGGGGAAGCGAGAAAGCAAGCCACCAATTTAATATATATATAAATTTTTAGAAGATTTTTGCTATAGGGTGCATATGCTCTCCGTAGAGACAGAGTCAAAGTGAGAAATCATTCCCCCCACCCCCAGGGGCATGGCCATGCCACAATCCCTTTTCCTCCATTCTCTTGGGATTTGAGGCATACTCGTACATGTGCTCGGTGTTGAGTTTCAAGCCTCCAGATCTGGGTCTTGAACTGTGGTTGGCCATGTGGGAGTCCGGTGACAACTCTTACGCCATCTGCTGGCCCCACAAATACTTATTTTAAACATTTATTTATTATAATTTTTTCAGTTTGCTATAGGGCACATGAGCTCACCAGAGAGAAACAGAGGCAGACAGAAAGTGAGAAAGCAAACCGTGTGGTTTGGGACTTGAACCGTGTGGCTGGCCATGTGGGAATCCAGCATCCCAACCACTACACCACCTACTGGTCTCCCTCACAAATAATGTAACCAGTCACTGTGTGCTACAATTAAATTGACTGAGATACAGAAAAATACCTTATTGTTATGAGTCTAACCTTCTAGCGAGTGAGATGAATCTAATAAATAGGTAATTTTTTTTTGGCAATAGGATGTGTGTGCTTGCTGGAGAGTGACAGGGAAAGTGAGAAATCACTCACCGGGGAGATGGCCAGCAGCAATTCTATCTCCTCCTTTTTATTGGAATTTGGGGGATGCACGCACACATGATTTTCAAGCCACTGGATCCGGGCTTGA